TTGCCTCGAGGCTCCGAGCTGCGAACAGCAGTCAGACATTGGTCTCCAAAGTCGGTCTGGTGTTCGCTGTGTCTCTTCTATCCTCTACCTGTCTCCTGTCCTCCTCTGTCTGCTGTCTATTGTGTCTCGTCTATCCTCTACCTATCTCCTGTCCTCTGTCTGCTGTCTATTGTGTCTCTTCTATCCCCTACCTGTCTCCTGTACTCTGTCTGCTGTTTATTGTGTCTCTTCTATCCCCTACCTGTCTCCTGTCCTCCTCTGTCTGTTGTCTATTGTGTCTCTTCTATCCCCTACCTGTCTCCTTTCCTCCTCTGTTGTCTATTGTGTCTCTTCTATCCCCTACCTGTCTCCTGTACTCTGTCTGCTGTTTATTGTGTCTCTTCTATCCCCTACCTGTCTCCTGTTCTCCTCTGTCTATTGTGTCTCTTCTATCCCCTACCTGTCTCCTGTCCTCCTCTGTCTGCTGTCTATTGTGTCTCTTCTATCCCCTACCTGTCTCCTATCCTCCTCTGTCTGTTGTCTATTGTGTCTCTTCTATCCCCTACCTGTCTCCTTTCCTCCTCTGTTGTCTATTGTGTCTCTTCTATCCCCTACCTGTCTCCTGTCCTCCTCTGCTGTTTATTGTGTCTCTTGTATCCTCTACCTGTCTCCTGTCCTCCTCTGTCTGCCGTCTATTGTGTCTCTTCTATCCCCTACCTGTCTCCTGTCCTCCTCTGTCTGTTGTCTATTGTGTCTCTTCTATCCCCTACCTGTCTCCTTTCCTCCTCTGTCTGCTGTCTATTGTGTCTCTTCTATCCCCTACCTGTCTCCTGTCCTCCTCTGTCTGCTGTCTATTGTGTCTCTTCTATCCTCTACCTGTCTCCTGTCCTCTGTCTATTGTGTCTCTTCTATCCCCTACCTGTCTCCTGTCCTCCTCTGTCTGCTGTCTATTGTGTCTCTTCTATCCCCTACCTGTCTCCTGTCCTCTGTCTATTGTGTCTCTTCTATCCTCTACCTGTCCTCCTGTCCTCTGTCTGCTGTCTATTGTGTCTCTTCTATCCTCTACCTGTCTCCTGTCCTCTGTCTGTTGTTTATTGTGTCTCTTCTATCCTCCATCCTTTATTGTCCACTTTTATGTCTCCTATCCTCTATTTTATCCTCACTGTCCCTTTTCTTTCCTTATCGCTTCGTTTTTGTGTTCGGTGTTGTTTGTTGTCGGGGCCTTAAGGCAACCCGGGAATGGGGGGGGGGTCGGGGGAGCTTCGGCTGACAGACCTGGGACCAGGCGGGCCCTCGGGAGGACTAGTTACAGACGAGGGTACAGAGAACCGAGGGTACGGAGGACTGAGGGTACGAAAGACCTCTGTGCCGTCATCTTAGGTGACCTAAAGGCACCTGATATAATGGCAAACATTGTAACCTTTTAGGTTAGAGATAGATTTTTCCCCATATTTTTCAATTTCTGTAGGATTATGTCCAACATTAAAGTATGGCGTTTATAGGTAGATAAAGCTATTCAAATATAACTAGAAATGTTTAAATTGTTAACAGATAGATCAATTTCTTCAAATTTCGCTGTTTTCCCCTTTTTTCAATTTCTATAGGATTCATACTAGGTAGATAAAGATATTCAAATATAACGAAATGTTTTTAATAGTTAACATAAGAAAACAAAAATGCCGCCCTCACATCAGGTGGAGTTTTCTCCGCTGTCTGCTTGTAGCTCGGCCATTTTTCCTGACTGGGGAGACGGAAGACTGAAGGGGTCTGGTTTCCGCCGGGTTTGCTTCAGTTTTTACCAACATTTTTTGAAACTTAAAAGAACATTAAAGAATAAACGCATTTTTGTATTCTTGTTTCAGCCTGCAACTTTGCTTCATATACTGATATAATTCGATAATAATACTGATGATAATGTTATATACTCTATTATACAAGTTAGATGCCGATATAGTTTTCTAGTATTGTTACCGAGGGACAACCTCCCATATCTCAATACTCTGTGTGCACTTTGTGGAACACTACATGTAGGACTGTACGGGCTTTTTCAGTTTTGAATATCCAATTGTACAAACTGTAAATTTTTCAAATACTGTAAATATAATATCAACAACCTGTAAGTGTTATATTTCAGTAGTCTATATAAGAACATTGTAAAACGCTACATGTAGTACTGTACGAGCTTTTATTGTTTTGGATATGCAATTCTACATATACTGTAAATGTAATACCATATTCACATATTTTCTGTACATGTACTTAATATATTCCGACTACTCCTTTGTGCAGTTGGCAATGTTGGGTTGTCAAACTTGTGGGTGCAGTTTTTGGTGGCACTTCTGAGTAAATAAAGACATCATATCTGGTAACCCGAGTGTGTTTTTGTTGTCTGTGTGAGTCTGATGCGTTATGTTACGTGAGTCCGTTTTTCATACATACACAACGCACGATTACAAGTAACGTTGATGTGAACAAAAACGGCCATCGCTCGTATTCCCTGGTTGGTTGGTTGGTTGGTTGGTTGGTTGGTTGGTTGGTTGGTTGGTTGGTTGGTTGGTTGGTTGGTTGGTTGATTGGTTGACATGATACTTGCTGTAGAATCTTTTCATCCGTGCTGTTTAAGCGAACGCCAGTTGCGACAGCCAAACCACATCTTTACAGGAGGTAGGAAAATAAGAAAAACTCTACATGTACTCACCCCGCCATGTTGTCAGTCGGAAATGGCGGGAACGCCTGATTTACACAACTATAGAGACTGACTGTGTTTCTACAGGTTACTGATTGTTTACGGCTGTTAGACTTGGACCGCAGTGTCACGTGGTGAACTTTGACCCGCAGAACAGCTGTTGCCGGCAGATTGCGTCATCATGATCAGGCGGGACGTTTCACGTCATGACGTCATAGATTCAACAATACAGATTTGCAGAACCGCAACCACAGTTCAATCAAAGATATTAAAAAGTAACTAAAATTTTCATGAACTAAATGAATTATTATTATTATAATAACAATCTGCAAGTGTCCTTTTGACGTCATGACGTCGTAGATTCAACAATACAGATTTCCAGGACCGCAACATACATGTAGATGTATTTAATATTTAACCCCTTCTAGAAAAGTAACGAAACAATTTTCAGTAGCCGAATGAGTTTTAGTAGTACAAACTATCAAATTCAACTGATAAAACTAACGTACATTGCGTAGTCATGACGTCATAGATTCAAGTATACAGATTTTCAAGGCTCGCAACACTACTGAAATCCAAGAGATTAAACACAACGTAGCAAAACGACATGTAGCAAAACGACATGTAGCAAAGTAATTAAATAATTTTCAAGAACAAAGAACCGCAACCCCGGTATATTTTATGACATTATACGCCTTGTAGCAAATTAACTAAACAATTTTCAGTTACCAAATGACTTTCCACAAACCATTAGTGGTCCATATTATCAGATACTAATGATAAAGCTAACGCTCACTGCGAACCTTCGACATCATGACGTCATAGATTCAACAATACATATCTTGAAGAACGCAACACCAGTGTAATGAAGTAGAGATTAAATGTCATGTAGCAAAGTAAGGAGAGTTAAAATCATCTTTATTAAGTTTTCACAAACATACAAGACGAATAGTTAAAAACACTTAGGCTAGGTCAGTCCCTTATTGTGAGTTAAGGAACTCACGGGACGCAAGGTAAATATGTGTGCGTCGGACTATCTGGACGCCGAAACTGCAGTTCAAAAAGGTCTCATCAATATAATACAAGTTAAACAATTAATATATTGCACTGATTGACTATTGCACTTCTACGTGTAGCAAGCTATTTACAGCATGAGAACAGCCCCGTAGGTTTTTCCCAACCAGCAGTATTTCTTCCACAGTAAATGACATACTAAGTACAGATTGCACATTTGCCCAGTCTGATTTTCAGGTGTCGCACTTCCCTGTCCTTGTGGTTAACAACACAGAGCGATTTCAACTTCGAGGTGTTTTCCCCACTTACCCACCCCCTACTTCCTACTTCAATCGTTACAAGAGTAGCTTCGTAGCTGCTATGACTGTAAATTTCGTTCAAAAAGTCTTCGTACTTTGCCCTTTTTCTGTCCTCTGCATCACGGGCGTTTTGTTCAAAAGGTACAGTGAGTTCTACAAGAGTCAGCTTTTGTTTGACAGGGTCCTGTACAGTAATATCCGGAATAAGTGACGTGGGTAGAATGTCCGGTGGAATGATGGTACGTGTGCCCACTTCAACTGTACCCGAGCTGAAGTCACAAATTTTCAAGAGCAAACTAACTTTACAGCCAGTCGTCTGATCTGCATCTAATATGATATGAAATCAACAATCCATGGATCAAAAAGTAAAATCAAAAGGTATTGCATGGATGTAAACCTTGCAAGTCAAAGGTGTCACTACCATTGTACAGCCGTACAAGGTATGTGCTTATTGTGTATGTACAAGAGATCTCAAACCAGCTTGATATGGGGTTCAGTACTAGTAAAGTCTAGTAAAGCTCACAATGTCCTAAATTCCAAATTACAAAGGCCAATACCAGTATTGTACAGCCGTACAATCTACGCAAGATATGTCTTATAATTAGTCCAGCCTTCTCATTAAAACTATTTTGAGAGCCATCTGCGTGAACCTGTCAAACACAAGGATCGTCTAGTATCTATTAAATGTGAACAGTACTATTGTACAGCCGTACAATGTGGGTTCATCACAAGTGTTTTTGACTCCAGTCTGATCTAGACCTGTGTCTCGGCTGTATGGGTCTGACCGAAACACTCGTTCCTCTCATCGCAGTTGCAGTAGTGCCGAGTGTTACGCGCTGGCGGCGCGGCGGCCCTGGCCTTGACCTTGGTCTCGCGAGCGGCCCTGGCCTTGACCTTGGCCTCGCGAGCGGCCTTGGCGAGCCTGTCCTTCCGCTGCCGTGCCGCCGCCACCTTGCCCCGCCCCTTCTCCCCCATCATGGCGGAGGTCGCGCTGACGAACACGCCCGCCGTGAGGCTGAGCAGCAGGTACAGGATCGTGAAGCCGGACGCGAAGAGGAACAGCGGCCCCACCAACTCGCTCGGCGTGGCGAGCACGGCATAGCTGACCTGTCCCCACGGCAGGAACGTCAGGCCGACTGTGGCGGCGGACAGGGACCGGAAGGTCTCCACGTACGGGCAGAACAGCAGGTAGCCTGGGAAAGTTAGGAGAAAAGTTTCAACTAACAACGGACCGAATGCTGGTTTGTACATGTACATGTACGTACATCAGGTACAGGTAGTAGGAATACAATGCGGACGGGAAAAAGTCTGAGGGTGACACTGTTGCATGAGGCTAAGAATAGAAAAGAGACTTGGGCGGTACAACAGAAATGTGCCGGCTGGTCATGCTTTAGTTGTTTACAACGCTTCATCGGGACAGGAAAAGCATATGAGTTTGAATTACTTTGAAACTATAGTCGTAAAGGCTGGAAACAGTCCATCAACTCACCACCGAACAACGGAAAGTTCCAAAATAACCTGCAGGATCGCAGAACTTTAGTAGTGACACGTACAGACCACCAACTCACCTGACATACTGAAGCCCAGGACGGCCAGGATAAAGATGGCCAGGCTGCCCAGCAGCTGCAGGCGGATGTTGATGAGGGTATCTAGAAAAGAGACAAATGTACGAATCAGGCACAGCAGTCCACCGATGCCCATCGACATTGCGGCCGCTAACATAATATGACGTGACTGTCAGCTCCCTATCAGTACTCACCGAGGTACGTGCGAACCCGGGCGCTCCCTATCAGTACTCACCGAGGTACGTGCGAACCCGGGCGCTGACCCTCCCCTATCAGTACTCACCGAGGTACGTGCGAACCCGGGCGCTCCCTATCAGTACTCACCGAGGTACGTGCGAACCCGGGCGCTGACCCTCAGCAGGCTGCAGAGTTGCACCAGGTTCAGCCAGATCACCAAGGCGACGGCGGCGGTGAACTGGTCACTCCAGAAGGCCACATCGGTCAGGTCCACGAAACTGCGTTGGTCTGAAGATAAAACGTCACATAATTAGCCATTTGTATAAAATATATAATTCAAAATTAACTCTTTAAACAACATTCAATCTTAATAATTGAAGCAGAATTGCAACAATTATCATGTAAGCATAGAATGTAGACGGCAAACTACGCACCCTTCTGCAGTTCTTGGCTGATGAGCGACTTCGCTTTGCCCGCGAACGCGTCCTTCGACGCCATCGCCCCGATGACGTAGAGTGACGTCGCGACCGACGCGACTTCCACGCCGGTCCAGACCTGGAGGAGGAAGGACCTTCCTTCCTGACGCGCGTTCCTCACCAGCCGGATGGTGACGTACAGGAGGCAGGCGACGAACACTGCCTTGGCCACGAAAAGGAGGGTGGGGGCCATGCCCTGCGCGGTCAGCGGGAATGTGGACACTTTGAGGGTCGCGATCGCCCCCGCTGACGGGGGGAACTCAAAAAGCACGGACACCGTGCTGAACAGGTTGGCGTTGACGTGGTACAGGGTCAGGTCCAGAACGAGAGCGGCCGTGTACTGGTCGATCCACCGGTTTGCCTTCAGGATCCTCAGCGTTTCCATCATTTCTGCTCGCGTCTCGCCGAGGCTGACGCGGTGGCCGGGTCCGCCGTACGAGCCCATCGTCCCGCGGAGAACGTGAGTGAATGTGGCGGGCGAAGACTCCGGGAAGGACGCGGCTGCCTCGCCTGCTGTCCCGCTGACGTGCGGCATCACGCACGGCTTGTTGGAGTGGAGAGCCGGCAGTGGAACGTCGCACTGGCCTGAGAAAGGAAACGATAGATTATTGCACCCATTCACTGAAAGGAAACTGTTAATTGGTTTATAGATGTATGAATTGATTTTACCTGCTTGAGCCCTGATCTGCCCGAGGCGGACCGGTCCCACGCGGTAGGCAGGCATGTCGCTGATGAACACACTGTCCCTCCAGTCCAGCGCGTCGCCGTTGTACTGCTGTGTGGGGTACAGTTGACGCGCGAAGGCACCTTCAAGCCAGGGCAGCACATCCTTCTGGGTCTTCACCTGGAACAAAAGTGATTCGTTAGTGCAAACATGAAAACAGTCTGCCTCAGAAAGTTTTCTAGGCTAAGAAGATGTAGAGTAGACCACATTAGAACCAATACGGGGAAAGAAATGCAAGCGCTCTTACCAAGTCGGAGCCGTTGGAGAACCCAGCTTTGAGCCGTTGATTGATGGCAGGAGCGGAAGGACTCCACACCTCATGGACCATCAGGACGGCAGCACTGATGATGATGATACCCAGAATGCACTGCCTGGCGTTGTTGGTGAGCTGCAGCCAGTTCTTCCTCTCGGCGCGCTGCTGCTTCAGCTGCTCTGTCTCCTGCAGCTCTGACCAGGCGGCCAGCGGCTCGGCGGGGACGGTCTCTGCAAAACAATGTGAACAAAACGTTAAAGCTATGACTATAGTCTTTATCTATTTATGCTTTTTGCGCGTGACGCCACCGTCGCCATGCTGGTTGGCTAATCCTGGAAGAGTCAGACCTGTGTCAGTGTAGGAGAGTCGCACCTTCAGCATGTAAACTGGTAAGGGCGAGACGACCTAAGAAGAATATGACCATTCAGACCCAAACACACCTATCAATAAGAGTTGGGGCACACGTCCATCTATATATATATAGTGTGTGTGTGTGTGTGTAAGAGAGCGTGCTACTAGTGAGTATAGGTACATGTTACAATGTGTAATACTTACTAGTGGGTATAGGTACATGTTACAATGTGTAATACTTACTAGTGGGTATAGGTACATGTTACAATGTGTAATATTCACTAGTGGGTATAGGTACTTGTTACAATGTGTAATACTTGCCTTCGACAGGCTGGCGTTTTCCTGCCTCAACGTCCTCGTCCTTGTCCTTGTCGTCGGTGTCGCTCTTCTTCGCGCGACAAGCACAGAGGACAGAGGTCCCGAAGGCCAAGATAACAGCCTTCAGCAAAATTGAAAACAAACAAATAAAACAAACAAACTTAATGAAACTAAGGCCATTGGCACCCTCTATGTGTAAACCAAGGTACAAGATAAGGTGTGCCTAGAGCAAACTAAAGTATATAACTGAAGTAATAATATTAAACAAAAACACAGATCTCCCTGTATTTGGTGTTTGTAATAACAAAGATAAAACAGTAGTGATTAAGCATGTTCACCTCTGCTGGTTGGACCACCACCATGGACTGTAGGAACGACAGCCCGAACGCCGTGAGCCACTGGATGGACTTGTCCCTGCCCCACTCCATGCTGTACAGCAGCAGGAAGAACCCGGAGGCCAGGGTGGTCAGGGCCAGCAGCGCCCAGCCCACGTACACGGACCAGTAGGGCAGCTGCAGGCCGGAAGACTTCGGCACGCCCTGATGTCAAACAAGACTTGATCAAGTTTATATTAATGTATATATATATATGGCCACTTCTTCAGCATGTGTCCTTTCCGACCGCCCAGTCTTGGAGAACACGAGTAAGATGGGTGTCTTGTTAAAGAAAGAATCAAGATGTGATTTACATCTCTCCCTCCTTCCATCTATATCTACCTTTCCATGTATGTAAGTATGTATGTATGTAAGTATGTATGTATGTAACTATCTATCTATCTATCTATCGCACATTTCAATAGCATTTTTGCCGATCAGACAGTGAAAGTGGGACTTCACCTTTGGGCGGCATCGGCGGAAAATCTGCACGATGATGAAGTTGATGGGGAACGTCTGGAGCGTGGTCCAGAGGCTCACCAACAGCATCTCCGCAGTCAACTGGGCCAAACAAAGAGACAAACACTGTAACCACCTACCCTATTCGGATCTTCAGGGCTCGCCATTCAGCTTCACGTAGTTGAGAAGTGGCGATATCGACTTCTAACAACATTTGAAATGTTCGTTACGTCATGCGTCCGTTGTGTTCCGACCATTAGTGTCAGACTCGAAGATTCAGTCAACCTTCGCTGTGCTTGAATCACATTGTGTTGGGTGCAAGTTTAACCCTACCATTGTGTTGGGTGCAAGTTTAACCCTACCATTGTGTTGGGTGCAAGTTTAACCATACCATTGTGTTGGGTGCAGGTTTAAGCATACCATTGTGTTGGGTGCAAGTTTAACCACACCATTGTGCTGGGTGCAAGTTTAGCCACACCATTGTGTTGGGTGCAAGTTTAACCACACCATTGTGTTGGGTGCAGGTTTAACCATACCATTGTGTTGGGTGCAGGTTTAACCATACCATTGTGTTGGGTGCAGGTTTAGCCATACCATTGTGTTGGGTGCAAGTTTAACCATACCATTGTGTTGGGTGCAAGTTTAACCATACCATTGTGTTGGGTGCAAGTTTAACCATACCATTGTGCTGGGTGCATGTTTAACCACACCATTGTGAAAGGCGCCAGATGAGCACGTACCTGGACGGATCCGATGGTGAGCACGACGCTGGATGCCCCCTGCCCGGACCCCCTGAACCACATGGCGCTGGTAATCATCTTACAGAACAGGAGGCAAACGCAGCACGACAGCCGCTACAATATGGGAAAATACAGTCATTAATTTACATGACCAGCCATTAAACATTCCAGTGTCCGCCACATTTTTGCTGTATGGGTTAGTGCACCTGCGGAGAGTTAGGATTATGGTTAGGGTTAGTCTCCACAGCACGACCACACCTGACAAATATAACACACTCACCCTCCTCAACCCTAGTAGTGTTGGGGAAAATATTTGTCAGTGGCAAAAAAAACCGGCATGACGCCGGCCCCACCTGCACGCGGGAGAAGTAGCTCTTGGGACGTGACGTCACCACGGAGAGCCAGACGTGCCCGTCCTTGAACTTCTCCCTGAGCTTGAGGCTGAAGCGCTGCCCCAGGGGCACGTCCGACTCCGCTGTGGGGGGCAGGGTCCGCTTGAGACAGCCGTCTCCGTGCTCCACCCCCAGCCAGGCGTTACACACGAACTGGGTCCTGCAGAAAACAACACAAACGGTCATGTTTTAAGTTAAAACTTTTGGTCCAACACAAAATTTCACCTAGAGCTTTCAACCAGTCACTCAGTCAGTAGACTGACCCAGTGAGGCTTGTCACAGGGCTTCTTTGAAGTGTGTGGTCAAACTTGTAATTACCAACACAGATAAACTTTCGTGATAATACAAAGGGTCTCTTAGCAGCCAAAGTGGGGCGACAATCTCCCAAATCATATGGTTATATTTTTGCGGACACGGCGTGTCGGTAGCTACTTTAAAACTTTTTCATAATAGAGGCGACAAGCATATACAATTTGTTACACGGACAAAACAGATAATACTGACACAAGACAATGCAAAATGTCTCTTGCGATGTACCTACGACGATTTTTCGGCGACGATATATCACTTTACGTCGTATGTTACAGAAGCGACAGGTTCAATACTTCATGATCACTGATGGAAAAAGGCAATGCTCTTTGTGTCTCACCAGGGATGAAGAAGTAAGTAAATAAGAAAGAAAAAGAAAAAAGGTCTCCCGTGCCCTTATGCAGAGCGTAGGGTGGTGTCCATATCCATTTCTGTAGCCCTTGAGCGACACACAGTTGTGCAGGGCACTACAGCAGGGGACTAGTCCGCTGGTAGAGCTGTGTGTTTGACCTTCCCACACTCTTTTTCATATGTGCTGAGTGCTAAGCAGAGAATGAAGTGTGTATAACCCGGCCGGGGTTTGAACTCACGACCTCCCAGTTACAATGCGAGCACTCTACCAATTGAGCTATTGCACCGGTATAGTAAGTAAGTAAATAAAGAGGTACTTTTTGTTAGTCCTTAGGTCTGTGACCTCCACCCTCTCCAGGAGCCAGGAGGCGTGGCGCCCCTCCCCCGAGTTGTCGTGCCACACCGTCAGGCTGGTCAGACCGCCCAGCTTCTGCGGGGTCGTCAGCAGGAACGTGTTCACGCCTCCCGTCTGGAAGGTCTGCAGAACGGAATGTGATGTAAGAAATATTACAAGCCATTCAAGGAAAGGCTAGGTGTAACGAGTCGTTTGGTGTATAATATAGCCAGCTGCCGCCGCACCGCGTACCTGCGAAGCTGGTCTCCAGGTGTGTTACGCCGAAGGGCGCGCGCGGTTTTACCGTGCCGGCTATACAGGTACAGGTGAAATGTCTGCAAAATGAATTTGACGTAATCAATATTACACACCATTCATTGAGTTAGGACATCAAATATAAGAAAAATAGAGTATTGGCTTTACATGCTCACATGAAATCATGTAAACCATAGCGATTCTCGGGAAAAGACTGTTGAAGCTTTCGGAAGAGAGAGACAATGCAAGAGACACAGGAAGAAAGAGAAAGAAAGGAAAGAGGGAGGCACAGAGAGCTAGAGAGAAAGATGGAGAGGTGTCACTGACCATGTCGTCCTGCTGAAACGACCTCGGGCCCGTGCTGCCCTTCTCTCCTGTCAGGACGAAGCCGACCGTGGACCGCGTCCCGGCTCCCCAGTCGTGCCCGGTGTCCACCCGCACCAGGAACCGGCTGCGGTGGCGGCGGCGGTTGCCGTGCGCGTTCCTGATACTCCACTGAGACGACAAAAAGAGACACAGATCTTAGATCTTAGAACAAGCACGATAGGACGCAAAATACTACCGTGACTCAGTTCGTGTGGCCTGTTTTGGACACATGCTGAAGATATATCAGAACACATAGCCATAGAATTTGCTATACTAGGGCCAACAATAGAATGCTACTTCTAATGATAAAATATGAACATTGGGAGAGCGAAGAATCTGTGGCCATCGCGTGAGACCCACCTTCTGCTCGTCTGCCTTGTCCTTCCTGCGAGCGGGATAGATCAGGACGAAGTACATCCCCATCACCACCACCATGGTGGTCCACACGGCGTAGTTGTTGACCAAGTCCTTGAACTTGGAGAAGACGGTCTTGAAGTTGATCCTGTTGGGTTCGGTCCCGCCGGAGGTGCCGAACCCCGTCAGGTGGTCACACAGGCAGACGGTGTGGGCCAGAGTGGAGGCGGGGCTCACCTGGAAAATAGTGTTATATAGTCGCAACGATATCTTTAGGTTACAAGGTATACCTTCAGGAGTTTCTAACCTCCTCCATGCACCCAAAACGGTGGGAAGACAAGATCGTGAAAGACACTGGTCTTCGTTTAAAGGCAGCAGAGTCTAGGGCCATGGACCGTGTAACATGGAGGAACGGACCGAAAGGAAACAAGGGACCAGATCCTGGCCTGAGTACGTAGGTAGCTGGGAAGGTAAAGTGGGTAAAATTCCAAAGTGGGTAGAATATTTACATTTCCAGGAAAGGTACACTTTCGTTTCATGTCAGTATTTTTTCTTACCCGACAGCCGTCTCTTTTCCATGAGCCCAGCTCTGCGTCTATCCCGGGGTCCCAGAACACGCAGTCCAGCCGCGTGATGTCCACCGAGTAGGGGCATCCCTCTGGTGGACAGCCTGAACAGAGAAGGAAACGGAACACAACGGGTATAGCCAGGAAAAATCCAGCAATAGTCATACATTACTTTACGTTGCGTACACTGTGATCGGAAGAATGATCAGTGTGTATCATGTTTGTATCATCCTGTAGGATTCCTAATGACCAAATCTGCACCCGGGGTGAACATATCAGTAATTGCCTCATTTCGCATTATATTGTGAGATGTAAATATTGGGTTAATTCATCAACATGCGCCGACAAAATAAGATGCACAGATGCATTCAGACCCTTGCTCGTATATTGCACAATTAGTCACAGATGTCATTTTCACAACTAGTACCGGTAACTACCCTTCTGCACTGCAACATGCACAGAATCCATGACGCCACTGTTGTGTCCCAAACCGTGCCTGTCCCAAACCGTGCCTGGGCACAGAACGGGGCACAGCATGACCGGCCAGGCACGGTTCGGGACAAGGCACGGTTTGGGACGCAAAAACGCCACGTACCGTCCACCTGCAGCCCGATGGTGTACTCCTCAGTCCCGTTGTCCCCTGCCGTGTCCGGCTGCAGTACCGTGTAGGTGACGTGGACGTCGCCGTCGGGCGGAACAGTCTTAGCGATGAAGTCATCCCAGCTGAACTCCTTCCTGTGCGTTATAAGGCATAGATCTTACATTATAAACTTATAGGCGCGGGGACGAGTATCCTGTAATATCTTATATATAAGCTGTCACTTTTGTATTAATATTCACCATAACATTATAAACTACGTAGAAAGACATGACATCATCAAAAATGTTATCCATTGTAGAGGACTTCACAGATATTGAGAGACCATTGAGTGACCCTTGGGTGACCATTGAGTGACCTTTGAGAGACCATTGAGTGACCATTGAGAGACCATTGAGTGACCCTTGGGTGACCATTGAGAGACCATTGATTGTTGCAAGTTTTGAAGGATTTCAACGGTCAGTCAGGGACATCGAACGTCTTACAATGATCTCTTAATCGTGCTTTAATCGTGCTTTAATGATCTGAATCCTTTTGAGATCTCCATCCTATAAAAATGTAGCCTGGGTGCCATCCTCCATAGTTTCCGCCGGCTCCCTAATGTCGCTGGCTACCGGTAGAAACTACGGAGGATGGCACCCAGGCTAATGGAAAAAGGATCTCACTTAAAGTCGTAGTCCGTCTGGTTGGGGAAGCCTCCCAGCTTGCCGTACACGAGGGCGGCCGGGTAGGGGGCCACCAGGCTGACCAACACGCCGTACGTCTGGTTCCTCCTGGCGCTGAAGGTCCGGAACACCATGGTGTCGTTAGGGAACGGGGAGTACTTCACCAGGCGGGGGGCGGGGAACATGTCAGGGGCGTTCTTCAACACCACAGTGATGTCCTCCGACAGGTCCTGCAGTAAAACATATGGACTACTGGTATTACCTACATCAATATTACAATATATTTTTATGCTTTTACAATATGCTTTCAGAATATTACGCTTTTACAATATATTATAATATTTTCATGAAAGTTCATCTGTGTTGTTAGTTACATGTTTAAAGTTAAAACATTTGGTCCAACACAAAACTTTATCTCACCTAGGGCTTTTGACCAGTCACTGTGGTCTTCCTCAGTAGACTTACCCTGTGAGGCTTGTCACGTGGCTTCTTTGAAGTGTGACATCAACACTGGGTCAGTCTACTGAGGAAGACCAGAATGACTGGTCGAAAGATCTAGGTGAGAGAACTTTTTGTGTTAGACCAAAGGTTTTTACTTTAAACTTGTTTCAATCATGTTAAAAGAACGGCACCTTGACTTTGAGGGTTCCTCTCCCGGCTTGCTTCAGCTCGATGTCCACGACCGACGACTTGATGTCCTTTGCGGACTCATCCCACACATACGGGTTCCGGTCATATCCAACCACCTGGGACAAAACAACGGGTTAGTCAGGATTTCCCGGATTCTATTCATGGTGTGTCAGAGTCGCTTTTGTAAGCCGTCTTTAGGAAACAAACAGAACTACACCAGATGAGCATTCATATCCCTCCACTTTAAAAACATTACTTGCAAATATGAACATCTTATGGTAAAGGATATACAGTACTCAATGCAAGAATAATAGTTTAACCATTAACACACTAACGTATGCCAACACATGCTCCTATAAAGACACCTTTTAGTAATTGTAATTGTAGCAGTTACACACAAAGTAACAAGCATCTGCATTTACAGTGAGCACATCTTTTCAAAACATGTGAAAACTATATCTAAACTATTCATTCCGCAGTTCAAAGTACTTTCCTTCATGGCTGCATCTTCAGCAACCCCTCCTCCGGCCAGGGCGCGCGGACCCGGCAACGTCACTCCTCCCGCATGCGCAGAGACAGCTGCCCCTCCCAGCCTTCCTCCTGAAGTCTTCTCCAGGACCATCTGCACAGCTCTGGAGCCGAGCTCCACGCGCCCGGCGCCGCCCTTGCTGTCCAGCAGAGCGTCGGCGATGCTGTCCAGGTTCCTCTGCAATTCCTGGGTCACTTCTCGTTGCTGCGTGCAAAACACAACATGGCAAAGTTAGGACGGTAACGAATAAGTAAACAGTAAAGCAAAAACATCAGAATACTCTAAATAAGACAAGCATCAGAAAACATAGAATATTTCATGGTTGAATGAATACTCTGTGGTTACTTCATCTGTAGGAAAAAATGATCAGAATGTTCATGTCAACAATCTGGTTAAATTAAAGTAAAATTAAGATATTTGGGGAGTTGGATGTGCTCTGTCTATAATAAAGTATGTTTCCTCCAAAGAGAGAGTCTTACATATGCCCACTGCCGCTCCTGTTTCTCTCGGAGTTTCTCCTGCATCTTATGGCGGAACTCCTCCCGTTTGCGCGGGGGAAGTCTGCGCAGAGCTGCGACGTCCTCCTCGTCCTCTGAAACTGTCTCCGAACCTCCCGACGCCATCAGGGATGCCACGGTGTCCACCACGGCTGCAGGGAAACACAAACATGTCAGTGCTTGTCACTTTTTAACGTTTCAGCGTTTTATTCCTTTACTTACTTTTTTTAAATTCCAACATTTTATGACCAAACGTGGCGACGGCACACTCAAGTTAATGCCGCCACCAACACAGAGGACAAGTACAGGACAGGAGAAAACTCATTTTCACTTGAGTTAAGTGAGAAAAGTCGAGTAAAGTGCTTTTCCCAAGGGCACAAGATCGGTGGCATGTCAGGACTCAAACCCGGGACCTCTTGTTTCCGAGTCGAGTACTCTGCCGCTACGCCACACGACCCCACATAGAGTCAGGCAAGAGTGTCGAAGAAAAAGAGAGTCGGGGATACCTGCAGCGGTGGGAGCGAGTTCCTCCATACTTGCCCCTCCAAGTGCACCTCGCTTGATGGAGTCTGCCATGGCTCCCACCACGTAACTTCCCTCAGCCTGTTCAACAAGGACAATACATATGGTTAATGGGATGTAAGTAATGACAGTACAGGTGTGGCTATTTCTTCATGTGAGAAGTGGAGTAGTCTTCTGGAGAAAAGCACCAAATCTGTAGAGATGGCGGGAAAGAGTCCAAAACTAGCTGATGATGATGGCATCTGCAAAGTGTTGCAAATTATATTAACCTTGTTGATCTTTTCATCGAAGCCCAGCAGCCAATCTGACTTAACGAAAGTTATTGTCTACCGGATGAACCGGAAGAATAAGGTAATTTCTACTAGATGAACCGTAAGAATAAGGTAAGTTCTACCGGATGAACCGGAAGAATAAGGTAATTTCTACCGGATGAACCGGAAGAAGAAGGATGGCACTGATGACATCATCCTTACCTGCGCATCTAACGGCAGTGTCCCGCACAGTGCGATGACGTCACTGGTTACCATCGCCATTGTCTCTGTGGAGTCTTCAGCTGAAGATGCGCGGGACAGTCTAGCGAGCGCTGCCATGGCGTCCGTGCAGGTTGTCGAGTCGACCTGAACGAACGAAAAGTACCCGAGACGTTTCAGAGTGTTTAAGCGACCTTGTAGACGACAAGAGAACATTGCGCATTGGCGGATCCATTGCAAACAGACGACAAATAAAGTCTGCAAATGCACATGTAGGTTAGAATGGACCAAGTCTGAAACTAAACAAAACTGGTCGCTTTGCTCGTACTGTGTCTCACCTTTCTGTCCTCAGAGTAAGAGCCTTTGTTGCCCCTATACGGAATGAGCTGATCCAGTATGCTGCCCGGATCGTCCTTGTCGTACTGCAGGTCAGCGATGGTGTTGATGGTTCTGGTTTGCTGAGGGCTGCTCTCACTCGTCTCCGGTGGCTCCTGTTGAGAGATCAAGACTTTTAGAAGTGGGTTTGTTTTCATGATTATCTATTCTAATTGTTGTTGACATGACAATATGTTGCAGACAACCAAAAGCCAAAATGATTTATTTTGAAAACTTTAGTAGATGACTTTACGTACGTGAGAAACGAAGGTCACAATTGGTGTCGGGGGCGGGCTTGTGGTGGTCTCTTCTGAGTCTGAAAGAGAAAAGCAACATCTTTAATCCCATTGTCTGCATGGGTGCAACTTACAAAGTAGTTCCTTCACTATGCCAAAAATCAGTTACAGAACTACCTAACGTCTGCCAGATGCTGGATACTTGGGTGCTTGATACTTTGTTTTGCACGCTTGCGTAAGATGTAATTTTAATCAATGCATTGATGTGAGAAAGAAAAAAACGACGAAATGATAACTTACCGATGGCATCCCCCTTTGTTGTAGTGGCCTTGAGGGAGGTACTGGTGGTGGAAGGAGCAGCAGACGACGTGGACGCTTTAGTGCTGACAGTAGAAGTAGCCGCCGGGGTGGTGTACTCTGCCGCGGTTGTAGCCGCCGTGCTCTGCACCGTTGTAGTAGGGCTTGTAGGTGTAGTGGTTGGCACTACCTCTGCAGTAAGGTGTATTTGTACATGCCGTTAGGCAAGGTGGTACATGAGGAAAAGTTAAGGAACAATCCGAACACAACATACTCGTAGCCTGGCCCTTTTCTGCACAAGTGAGTTGTTGCTTATCTAATACTAGTATGGTTTTGTAACATAACGTAATTGGTTATAGTTATAATGGATGCCGACACCACATTGGTGGGTTGCGTACATCCAAGATGGCGGCGTCCGCCATTTTGGTGGGCTTAACCTAGTCAAGTGAATGCCAAGCACTACCCTGAAGAAACCATACTGTTATGATGTGTGTTGGCATGTAGGATGCTGAGGTAAAGCGGCGTTACCTGTGCATGTGATGTGTGTTATCATGTATAATATTGAGGTGTAAAGCGGCGTTACCTGTGCATGTTGTACCGTTCCCTGTAAACCCGTCCAGGCAGACACAGTAGTACGACCCTGGCTGGTTCACGCAGAAGGCGTTCTCATCACAGCTGTGCTCACCGGAGCATTCATCCACATCTGGAGACAGAATGGAAAGGAGAAAAGATCAGTGTTATTCTTCCTGATCCCTAGTAAACGGCATTTAATTTTTTTTTCAGGTAAGATACAAGATTTTGCATGTCAGGGTATTCTTCTACAAGGCATGACATACTGTATATTGTGGATTCATAAGAGCGGGATGAGAGCGGGATGAGGGCGGGATGAGAGCGGGATGAGAGCGGGATGAGAGCGGGATGAGAGCGGGATGAGAGAGGGATGAGAGCACGATGAAAGCGGGATGAAAGCGCGATGGGAGCGGGATGAGAGCGGGATGAGAGCGGGATGGGAGCGCGATGAGAGCGGGATGAGAGCGGGATGAGAGCGGGATGAGAGCGCGATGAGAGCGGGATGAGAGCGGAATGAGAGCGAGGTGAAAGCGCGATGGGAGCGGGATGAGAGCGGGATGAGAGCACGATGAGAGCGGGATGGGAGCGGGATGGGAACGGGATGAGAGCGCGATGAGAGCGGGATGAAAGCGCGATGAGAGCGGGATGAGAGCGGGATGAGAGCGGGATGAGAGCGGGATGAGAGCGGGATGAGAGCGCGATGAGAGCGCGATGAGAGCGCGATGAGAGCGGGATGGGAGGGATTAGAGCGGGATTAGATCGGGATGAGAGCGCGATGGGAGCGCGATGGGAGCGGGATAAGCGCGCGATGAGAGCGGGATTAAAGCGGGATGACAGCTAGATGAGAGCGCGATGAGAGCGGGATGAGAGAGCGATGAGAGCGGGATGAGAGCGCGATGAGAGCGGGATGAGAGCACGATGAGAGCGGGGTGAAAGCGCGATGAGAGGGGGATGAGAGCGGGAAGAGAGCGGGATGAGAGCGGGGTGAGAGCGGGATGAGAGCACGATGAGAGCGGGATGAGAGCGGGATGGGAGCGGGATAAGAGCGGGATGAGAGCGGGATGGGAGCGCGATGGGATGCGGGATGAGAGCGGGGTGAGAGCGGGATGAGAGCGGGATGAGAGCGGGATGAGAGCGCGATGAGAGCGGGATGAGAGCACGATGGGAGCGGGATGGGAGCGGGATGGGAGCGCGATGAGAGCAGGATGAGAGCGCGATGAGAGCACGATGAGAGCGGAATGAGAGTGCTCTCATCTTGCTCTCCTTGCGACCTTGGCGCTCTCTCCGCGCTCTGGCCAATTTGAGGTCGCGGAGAGAGCGCCGTGAGAGCGCCGTGAGACCGCCGTCTAAGTGGAAGGGTGGTATAAGATGATTTTGTCACCTTCACATCCTGATCCCATCTTGAAGCCTTGGAAACATTTGCAGTCATAGGTTCCGTTCAAGTTGACGCATTCAACATGACGTCCAGCACAGATTCCTGGGGTCTCTTCGCACTCGTTTACATCTGTGGGAACAGTTTAATCTTCAAAAAGTCTAGACATGTTGCAAATTCCCCTTGATGTGACACTTGTTGTGGTATATCAATATTTGCTAAAACTTCTTCACTCCAACTCCCTTCTCTCACCTTCACAGTCACGTCCGTCTGTCTTCAACACGAAGCCCTGACGACAGGAACAGGTGTAACTTCCTGGGACGTTGGTGCAGGTTTGGTCACATCCACCGTTGTCTGTTGCACATTCGTCAGTGTCTGCAAAGGGCGCAGCAACAAAGGTAATAAGTAAAAACCAGCAGGTAAAAACCAGAGCTGACATGATAATATTGCGTTCCCTTTACTCAATAGTCTAAGAAATATCAGAGTGACAGAGTGTAAACTAAAGAGACCATGACGACAGGAACAGGTGTAGCTTCCTGGGACGTTGGTGCAGGTTTGGGCACACCTACCATTGTCAGTGGCACATTGGTCTTCTGCAAAAAGAGTTCAGGGTACAGGCGAGACAAACATTATTCGCTGAAAGTTTTCAGTGGTTCATCATATTGCTAGCTAAAATGATGGACGTGAAAAATTCAATCCAGCCTTACCTGCACAACCATGCTCATCTGACATCACGAAACCCTGTTGACAGGAACAGGTATAACTTCCTGGGATGTTGGTGCAGGTTTGGGCACATCCACCGTTGTCTGTTGCACATTCGTCAGTATCTGCAAAGAGTTAATGGATAACAGACGAGACAAGCATTATTGGCTAGCTGAAAGTCCTGTGAATAAACTTAAGTGAGTGGTTGACAAACTAACTAACATGATGCATGTGAAAAAGAGCTCATGGCCAGTCCTACCTTCGCATCCAAGCTTGTCTGGCATTAACACAAAACTGTGTTGACAGGAACAGTTGTAACTTCCTGGGATGTTGGTGCAGTTGTGGGCACATCCACCGTTGTCTGTTGCACACTCGTCAGTATCTGCAAAGGGCGCAGCAACAAAGGCAGTAAGTAAAAACCAGTAGGTTAAGAGCTGACATGATAATATTGCGTTCCCTTTATTCAGGAGTCTACGAAATATCAGACTCCAGAGTGTAAACTAAAGAGACCCTGGAGATTTTTGTCTGATACTCGTCAAATATATGTAAATAAATAAATGAATAATAATATGTATTTAAAAATCCGTCCCTACCTTCACAACCATGCTGATCAGCAGTCAACGCGAAGCCCTGTCGGCAGGAACAGCCATGGTCATCTTGCATTAGCACAAAGTTCGGTCGACAGGAACAGTTGTAATCTCCCCCTGAGAGTTTGTTCCGGATCTGAGCGCAACCACTATTGTCTGTTCCGGGTAAGAAAAGAACACAGATAAGAAAAAAGGTATTATTTCTACATCCACATCAGCTACCAGTAATTACAACATGCAATTATGTACAGAAAATGAGATGGCGGAGAGATGATCACTGACATTTAGGTTTAGATTTACAGCAATGGATGTCTGGAGCCATCACATGTCATCAATTGACCACTTTTCCCCGTTAACAGTGACAGAACATGGATGATGTACAGGCATGCGTATGTGATGTGGTCAAGTGAAAGGAAGACAACAGTATTCTAACGCATAGTAAAACGTTAAACTTTATTCCAACACACTATTTACAGGGATCAAATTTTCAGCGACTACTGTCGCCTTCATCAGGATAATTAATGACCAATCACTTCACAACGTGATCTCGCGAGAGTTACGGTTTACAAACACGTGACTTCACTCACACGAGACTTTACTGATACGTGACGTAAGCAATTGATCAAAAGTGCCAGGGAGTTTATATCGTCCACCATCTCTATTAAGTGAAGGCTGAAGTGCTCTGATATATATAGCCTCCTTAATGCCTCTTAGCAAGTAGTCCTGTTCAGTGTCCAGTATTCTAACTTTGTCCAGAGAGACTGTGTGGCCCGGTGATTCGATGTGGATGTGTTGAAGGCGACAGTAGTCGCTGAAAATTTGATCCCAGTAAATAGTGTGTTGGAATAAAGTTTAACGTTTTACTATGATTACTACCAACACAGATGAACTTTCATGATAGTATTCTAACGCATTTATGAAAATACTTAAGCTTACCTGCAGAGCCTGCGCACACGGTGTACACAATCCTGTCTCCGCTCCCGTCTGAGCCAAAGGCTGCTCCTGTGTTCCACAGACTGTGAAGACTCTGGTATATCCCACGTTCGCAGAAGTCGGTGCGACAGTTGTTAAAGCCGAAACTCCTCCTCCCTGTAGCCCCGGCTGAGAAAGCCAAGTTCGCCACCTGAGCTACATGCCAGGCCGGACCACAGCTGAGCGCGTTGTTGATGTAGGGGTCGGAGTTGTACTCAGTCACGCACCTGGAAACACAACATTGTGTACAATGTTAGATAGCATGCCACTTAAATTCACCTTCATTCCAGGTTCGTCGACTCAACATGCTTTAAAGTCCTCCTTTACTATTATTTTTTGTATAAACGATTCTCTGTTCTCTCATCTTGTATTAGTATACTATTGTGATAAGTGTTATGAAGTGTGGTAACATAGCCCCCATAGTATCTATGACTGATGCACGTTTTCATCATTAGCTCGTGTAAAAACTACATTTCCGCTCAAATCATCAATTACTGGTGCGTATTTGACTGTTTCACAGGTCACAGATCCTACCGGATCATGTCGGGGTTGCTCCATGTCCCACCCTCGGTTGCCCCGTTCTCCCCACATCCCGTCGGCCTCAGTCCGTAGCCAGCACACAGATTCTGATAGTCTTTGCACCACTCCGGAGAGGCAGACAGGCCGTCAGCTGGCAACATCGCCTCGATGGCGAGGAAGTCGACTCCTTCATACTGCTGGTTTGCGGTGCGGAGGACTTCAAAGGCGTGGTTTCCTGATTTAAGATACAACAAATCAAACTGGAATTCAGGTTCGGTATGAAACTAATGCTAAGTCTAAGTAACAATTGATACATGCGCGCCCGTGTGCAGCATAACCTGTTGGGAGAAACTGTTGAAATTAGGATGCCAAAAAACCTTTATAAGTGTCTCAATTATTCCTGACGCTCTAATTTCCGTCTGTTCAATGATTCTGCAAAACAAGACACAGAACTGACAATGTCATCAGTACATTGCAATGACTAGTTTTTTTTTTTTATTTATAAAAAGTAACTTTATTCACACAACAACAACATAACAATACATTGCAAATGAACTAACAGTTGGTTTCATATTCGTGAGCACAAAAACTGCTTACGATTTTCCTGAAGTTTTCGGTTTACAAAACATGTGGTATACATTGTTTACAACATGGTAAGCAACGTTTAAATTAAGCCTCTCACGGAACATTCATTTTCATATAATATCCGTATACTACCCTTGTATTCACCATATTTATACTTACAAATTGAAAATTTGCCAAGTAGTATCAGTACATTAATATAGTGATATTTTACAATGTCGTGAAGTTTGTAGCCGAGGATAACATCCTGTATAGACAGTAATAATGTGTTTCCGTATTTGATACAATAAAGCTTTTCTACTTCTGACCAAATGGGTTTTACAATGTCACAATAATAAAAAAAATGTTCAACATAGTCCACAGCGTTACAAAACAAGCATTTGTCATTCTCTGAAATACCTTGTTTATGTAATTTAACTCTGGTCGGATATACATTATGTAACACTTTCCACTGTAGTGAACGAATTCTTGGTTCCTTTATAACAAGAAATAACGATTTCCATATTGTCTTCCAGGGTGTGGATTGAAAATCCATCCCCTGTAAACGCTTTTCCCAGAAACTTTGGCCCGTAGGCGTGACTGCTTTCCGAAAAAGAAGAATGTTTTTGAAAAATGAATTAGTCTGAATTAGAGAGAGAGGTGAAAGGTCAGGTGAGGTCACCTGACGTTCTTTTTCTTGAGCTCGCCAGAATTTGCGTTCTGGTGGCTCTTTAGCGGTGAAACCGCACATTTTCCAGTTACTTTGATTCCTAAGTTTTATAAGTGATCACTGACTGTCGTCGCTGCCTTGGAGTTACCCGTTTTCTTCCCTGTGAGAGTTTTGTGGCTTCTTTTCGCAACCAGTGGGAGGGCGAGCTACGCATACAGCAAAGATGGCGGCTCGTGAACGTGACGACATTTCAAGGCTCCAAGACACCAACCTTTGGATCAAAATTGACGCAGTCGGTATGCCTAAACTTTCTGAGTTCGATTTAGTTGAAGCTTTATACAATACTGTGCGAAACGAGATGACGGATGCCATAAAACCCGACGAAATATTAGGGGCGCAGTACCTTAGCCAAAAACGCACCTGGGTAATCAACTTTTCATGCCTGGATGCTAAAGCTAAAGCGATCAGTGTCGGTCGCGTCGTCGTCGGCACAGGGTCTTACGGTATCCTGGACTTCAAAAGACAGGATTAAGGAAAGCTGAAACCAGAATTTCAATTCATGGAATCCCACATAGTGTGTCTGATGAAGAAGTAGCTCAGTGGGTGGACTCTCGGGCTGAAAGGCTAACAGAGGTCAAGAGGCATCAAAAGAAGAACAGGAATGTTGACTCACCCTTTCAGCATCTGTATTCGGGGCATAGATTTTGCTACGTCTCTAAGATCATTAACCCGTTTCCACGCTACTCCACTTACAGTATACCTGATCCTACAGACACTGATTCTTTAATTGATATAGAAGTGACTGTGTTCCACGACGGTCAATCTATCAATTGCAAATCCTGCAAAGCCGAGGACCATGCATTCCACGAATGCCCTCAACGCATCACCTGCTACATTTGCGGAAAGAAAGGACACACGAAAAAGTGGTGCAGAGCTGACAAAACTAATCCATCTCGTGAAAGCAGAAAAGATATTGATCAGTCAGTAAGTGCTGGACTTAAGGCTGCAAGGGAAGCTTCCAACCCTTCCTCCCGCCCTTACTCGACTAGATCTACCCGTGAAACAGGCAATGATTGCCACAGCGGAGACGAGCACAGCGGTGACTGGGCTTCCTGTGATCCGGACGAGGCTGCTGAAGCTGTAGAAAGCCCTATAGATGTGGAAAACAGCGAAGACGAAAACACTGGAAGAGGGGCAAAAGCAAAACCCCCACAAGAGGAAGCAGGGCTCTCTGATGGGTCCTATCAGAGGAGACGAACGCGCTCATCGCGTCCAACGTCGACCAGCACCGAGAACACTGGGGAGCGTGGTCTACGACGCCAACCAGTGTCAACAAGGTCAACTAGAAAGAGAAAGAACGTTCTTACTCCACCTGATAAGGCAAAGCCGGACAAACTTCACAAAGACGATGGTCGTTTGGACGATCAGAGGAGAAGGAAAGACAATGGATAGTTACTGTAGCTGAACTATCTTCCACCGACACCTATGGTACGACTGCTCACCATCAATACACGAGGTTTAAGGAAACGAACGGTACGACGAACTGTTTTTCAATTTCTTAAGTCAAAAAAGATTGACATTGTACTAATGCAAGAAACCTATATAACAAGTGATGATTTTGAATTGTGGACGAAAGAGTGGGGTGGTAAACTTTTTGCCCATCCCAGTACACGTCACAGTAAGGGGCAAGTTATTCTTATATCTAAACATTTTGACTGTAAAAACATTGAGTTCATTGATATTTCTGACCGTATTATCGGTGTACGATTTACGTCTCAAAATGAAAAATTTGTTTGTTTCAACATTTATGCCCCAAATGCTGTGACATGTAAAAAGCTGTTTTTCTCCCAAGTATCGAACATGATACAAAAATATTGTACTGATTTTGAACATGTACTGGTTGCTGGAGATTTTAATACGACCCTTAACAACTCTCTCGATAATATAGCGGGAAGGGAGTACGACAGCACAGAAATGACAATTTTGAATAATATTTTGAATGAACATGACCTTGTTGATATATGGAGAACATTTCATGGTGTTGAAAGAGAGTACACCTGGTCCAAAAAGAATCCATTCATTGCTAGAAGACTGGATTATATCTTTGTTAATGATATGTTATTTGATAAAAGTACCAGCTGTGAGATTTGGTCCTTTCCATGTAGTGACCACAGAGCAGTCATGATGGACATGTGTGTGACCCAACAGGATAAGGGTTCATCATACTGGAAATTTAATAACTCTTTATTGTATGATAAAGCTTATGTAGACAGTGTTAATCAGATTATTGAGAATATCGAAGACGGCCTAAATGCCTCGTCGATCAAGAACAAACAAATGATGTGGGATTATTGTAAAAATAAAGTTAGATGTTTTCGATTGACTACGGCAAACAAAAAGCTAATGAAAGACGCATGACTAGCAAAGTTTTAGAAGAAGATTTAATGAGACTAGAAAAACACTGGCCACTGATCCAAATAATGCAACGTTACAGCAACAGGTGTACAAAAAGAAAGCCGAATTTGAAATGCATGCTCTCTATAAGGCACGTGGAGCACAAATTCGCTCCAAAACCACCTGGATTGAGAAGGGTGAGAAAAACACAGCATATTTCCTCAGGTTGGAGAAGGCGCGTGCAACGCGTAATGTAATAACAAGTCTTAGGAGGGATGATGGTACAATAATCACTGATCAAGCAGGATTATTGAACCAACAAACACAGTACTTTAAGAACCTTTACCGTGAAGAATCGCCATTTAAGTTAAATGAATATGAAGAGTTTGTCTCTGATATTAATGCCCCTGTGTTAACTGATATGCAAAGAGAAACATGTGAAGGGTTAATTACCATTGCTGAATGCACAGCTTGTTTGAAAAATATGCGAAGCTGTAGCCCAGGTTTAGATGGGCTGACAACAGAGTTTTATCAATTTTTCTGGTGTAAAATTAAATCATTAGTTGTTGATTCACTGAACGAAAGTTTTGTTAAGGGTCAACTCTCTTCTACTCAAAGGAAAGGTGTTATCTCTTTGTTATTTAAGGGTAATGATGAACATGACTTGTGTAGGGACCAGCTAACGAACTGGAGACCTATATCAATTACCAACACTGATTATAAGTTAGGCGCCAAAGCCTTGGCAAACAGGTTACAAAATGTGATACCTAATATTGTCAGTGAGGATCAGACTGGATATATTAAAGGACGTAGCATCACAAATAACGTGAGGGCCATTGATGATATAATATCTTTTACGAAAGAATCTAATTCTCCTGGCGCAATACTCTTTCTAGATTATAGCAAAGCTTTTGACAGTATTTCTAAAGACTTGATTCTACACGTTTTTGAAGAAATTTAATTTTGGTAGTGATTTCATACATTGGATTGATGTGTTTACTAGAAACTCACAAAGTTGTATTAATCATTGCGGTTTTCTGTCTGATTGGATCGATTTAGAAAGAGGTGTGCGCCAAGGATGCCCTCTGTCAGCTCTTCTGTTTGTACTCGCAGTAGAGGTATTTGCTTTGAAAATTAGACAGTCAACTAACATTAAAGGTATATGTCTTCCTTCCTTTGACAGTAGTGAAGTGGAATCTCGTATTTTTCAATACGCTGATGATACAACGTTAACTCTTGGGGACAAAATTTCCATTTCAGCCAGTCTTGATATTATCAATGATTTTTCGTCCTTTTCTGGATTAGTTCTTAATAGGGGGAAAACCGAAGCTATGTGGCTCGGCTCCTTAAGAAATTGTAATGAACATGTTGGTGGCCTTAAATGGACTGATACGGTAAAATGTTTAGGTGTTAGTTTTTCACATTCTGTGTGTGCCTCAAATATTGAAGCCAATTGGAATAGAAAAATTCTTAAAATGAAAAAACTTCTTTCTTCCTGGGCCCCCCGAAACTTAAGTTTGTTGGGTAAAATTTTAATACTTAAGAGTTTAATCGCTTCACAACTTTCTTTCTTGTTAAGTGTACTAGTACCACCTGACAAGTTCTTAAATGATGTTAATCTCATGTTCTACAGATTTTTGTGGAAGAAGGATCGAGTTAAACGTAATGTATTAATTCAGGATTACACGGCAGGTGGGTTGAAAATGCCTGACATAAAAATTATGCATAAAACGTTTATGTTGAAATGGATAAAAAAGCTATCATACCAATGTAATGCATACTTACCTACTTGGAAGAAGATTCAGTTAAGTTACTTACATAGATTTGGTTCTAACCTTTTTATCTTTAGATGTAACTGCAGTGTTCAGCATATTCAACCTAGCTACTGTATGCAGTCCTTACCTGTTTTCTACCAGAAATTGATACAAATCTGGTATGATTTAAAGGCACCCGAATTGATAGATGCTATAACTGATGAAAATGTACCATGGCAACCTCTTTGGAACAACAACTGTATCACATATAAAGGTAAAATGTTATATTTCAGTAGTTGGGTTAAAAAAGATATTATGTACATTAATGATATTGTAGACAAACAAGGACACTTTATGGCATTAAGGGAGCTGAAAAATATTGTTGGAGATTATCCATGTTTATTGTTTCAATACAATGCCCTATTTAACGCTATTCCTCCCAAATGGAGAAGTACTCTTCACATAGAAAGTGAAGTGCCTAAGATAAGACTACAGGGAAAAGATGTTTGTATGCAATGACAGTTACATTGTAGATTTGTGGCTTACTGGACTAACATGTAGACTAGTCTGAAACTGGAAAACCGTCATCATCGAATGCAAAAGCATTCTGTTAGTATGTCAATGATGTACCTTTATTTCAAGTTTGTTAGATACACCACAACGATGGAGAAAGGAAGACGTGTATATTTTGCTGTGTGTGCCAACGTATCTTTATAACACGGATGCATTGTTAGTACAATAACATAACGTTAAGAACATTCACATATGGCTTCTGGCATAGTCCTCTTGTGTGTACGTGAACTGTGAACAGAACTGTGAACAGATTCCATATCGCTGCGCTGTGTCTGTGGAAAGACAAAACTTCAGTAGATGCTTGTACAAAAACCTCCGCAAACTATCTTACGTGTGCATGTAGGAACATCACCACTCCAAGTTCGGTCCGCCTGGCACCTCACACTAGAGGCTCCTTCCAGCTCGTACCACTGGTTACAGGTGAACGTCACCACGTCATTGTAGGAGCTCGCTCCTTCTGGGCTCAGCGCTCCGTTACCTGGCACAGTCAGCGTTGGACATTGGGTAGCTGAAATGACAAAAAAATGTTGATTAGGCTCATTTCAAATGTAGCATCTGTTGTGCTGAAACTGGTAGATGGGAAACGGTGTTGGTTAAGTATCTTCTAATTTCAACCAATCGACAGACGGGAAAGGCAATGCTACAACAAAGGCCGGACACTTAGGCATACAGCAATGGATGTTCACAAAAAGTTTCAATAGGACAGCCATATATTATTCATAGATCACCTTTTCCCCGGGGACAGTGACAGAACATGGATGGTATATAGGCACGCGTATGTGATGTGGTCAAGTCCAAGGAAGACAACAGTATTCTAACGCATTTTGTAAATGATTTATGAAAATACTTTTAAGCTTACCTGCTGAGCCTGCGCACACGGTGTACACAATCCTGTCTCCGGTCCCTCCTGGACCAAAGGCTGACCCTGTGTCGTACAGACTGTTAAGACTCTCCCAAATGCCACGTTGGCATGTGCTGGTGGTACACCAGTCAAAGCCGAAACTCCTGTAACGTATATTCGTGGCTGAGAAGGCCAATCTCGCCACCTCAGCTACATGGTCGGCCGCGTGACAGCCGAGCACGTTGTTGATGTACGGGTCGGAGTTGTACTCAGTCACGCACCTGGAAACACAGCATTGTACACAGCATTGTACACAGCATTACGCCACGTGTCACTAAAATCCGCTTCATGACACCAGGAGTCATCAATTCAGGAATCTCTAATGCTGGTATTTCTCTATTGACTGTTACTATTCCCTGGTATAAAGGACTCTTTTTTAAAGTTTTGACTGGCAAAATCTTAAATTTTCTAACTGCTCGCATTAAAATAACAACATAGATTGCAGGAAATATTAATGCAGAACACCATTTATAGTATTGTGATGGGTGCAATAAAAGTTGAATACTGGATTTAATTATGCATTTAGATCTAGAATATTCCCCGTGGAATCGATGACAAATGCAAGATTTGAAAATTTGACTTGTAGAAGCTGCATGCCCTCACAAATAACATGATTTGCCGCCAGCGCGCATTATGACTGGTCTATATGTCACAGATCTTACCGGATACGGCCGGGGTCGCTCTCGCTCCCACCCTCGACTGCCCAGTTCTCCCCACAGCCCGTCGGCCTCAGTCCGTAGCCAGCACACAGATTCTCATAGTCGCTGCACCAATCCGGACTGGTAGACAGGCCGTCAGCTGGCAACTTCGCCTGGATGGCCAAGAAGTCGACTCCTCTATACTTCTGGTTTGCAGTACGGAGGACCTCAAAGGCGTGGTTTCCTGATGGGATAAAAATCCAGAATATAATCAGGATCGGGATAAAACGGATGCCTTCATTTTACGTGGTTACGACTTCAATCAATCAATCAATAGTCTTTATTTATACTGGAAATGCCCTGTCGGCCTTGGCCGCTCTTCCCAGAGGTCCAGTGAGTGTGTGTGTGTGGGGGGTGGGGGGGGGGTCGACGGACGGGAACACAATAAATAAGTAAATAAATAAATTCAAATTTAAACAAAAATACATTACTAAATACCTAACATAATATATGATAATAATCACATGAGTATGAAAAATCAATTCTCAATTAATTCTTTATTTCCATACCAACATTGCAGACATACAAAATATAACTATAATGTCGCCTGAATGGCATTGGTATTTACATCATTACATTAAAATAAACGCATAACATTATTACATACATATATACATAAATATATACACTACTTATATGAACAGTACGTTCCAGATATGACAAGTTTATACGGTCTGATTGTAGAGTCTGATAGACTGATGTAGGAACGAGTTCTGGAGTCTTTTTGTTCTGGCTGGGGGGATGGAGATGGTGATTTTGTTTCTAGAAATGAAACAAGATTGATAAGGCGAAGCTTTCTGTGTGTACGTGTGGAAACATGCGTGCTCGAGAGTCTGCTAAAATCATTTATTTATTCTCCTAAACCTTATAGTGAAGCTTATACGAACTGTAAAGAAAACTACCCTCATCATAGTGCCTGGGGCTACCAGGCTGTAACATTCACACAAACAAACAACTATTTGAAGCATTTGAAACATTTATTTCCGCCACAAAACGTTTCGATGGTCCTTTCAGTGATACCACATAAGATAACCTCATATGATCATGCGTTACATATATTTTCCTTACATATTGTATTATAGTTTAGTTTACGTCGAAAACTGCATATTATCTTGTTTGAATACTTTTATAGGAAGCCTTGTACTTAAGTCTGTTAGAATTTTTACATAGTTATGGATGGATCTTAGCCTAACGTGGTACTTGTTAGCCTATTAGTAAGTCATATTGTGTATGTTTAATTTGTATATCTTTCGGCACCCAAAATCAGCCGTGCTGCCTGGGTGGCCGTTGTATTCCCTCGTAACTAGAATTGAAATAAAAATAAAAATGAAATAGTGCCACAGAAACTAAATCCATAAAATCTCGATTTTGTCACAGACTATCAGAAATAGGGTAGGCAGTTTTCTCGTACCGATACTCTGTCGTTTCTGAGTGTATGCACTTTTAACTAGCCTTCTGACAATTAAGAAACGTGTTAATATTACTGATCATGTCACTTACCTTGTTCTAGGGAAGTGCCAACACGAGCACAGCAGATGGCGACCACAAACTCAAGTTTGAGCAATCCCATATTTCCCCCCGTTTGGTCCGAACGAAATATCCAAGAAAGAAATGGAAACGACAGGGGGGCACCTAAAGCGCACCCCCAGCGCGACCGTACAGCCTTATACAGATTCTTGTAGTTTGTAGTTGTCCCGGCGGTTTGCGAAAGAAATAAAACGCTTTGTAAAAAGCTGGAAAAGACGGCCGAGGCAGCTGTAGTCAACTGTTTTCTTTTTCTCTCTCACCCAGACGCTTTTCCCTGCGTGAGAAACATGACCACAGTTGACTGCGTTTGACTCGTGATATGGAGTCGCTGCCGACAGAAATTAACTTTTGGGAGATGACATATCCAGACGTGTCCATTGCAAAGATGGGTAGAAACTGTCTTGAAAACATTTTTTTACAAAGAAAGTCTAGGATATTTATCCAAGTTAAGACAGAAAATACTGACAACAGGATGTATAGATGTGGATGTATAAATAGAAGTGATCTATAATTGAATGGGTGAACTTTATTTTTATGTTCTAGAAGTAATTATTTCTTCATCACCCCTCATATGTTGTCGTGTCCCAACCACACAATAACGTAGCATAGAGACACCTGTAACACAGGGAGGTCAGAGGTGTTAGAGTTAAGTGATTGAGATTGAATAATTGATGATGGCAGCTGGTGGCCACAATGCTCGAAGATTAACTTTAATGACACCTGTTAATTCCTTCCACACAATGCATGGTGCTAGCCTATGGATACATACCGAATACCTATACTGAGAGAGGGGGGAGGGGGAGAAATGGGGGAAGATAGTACACCGATCTGAACTCAACAGTACATTTTGAAACAGATTTAAATTGTGAGTTCCAACACAACAATTGAGCATACCAACATTTTCCCATACTATTCAAACAGTTCAAATGGAGCTGGAATATTTTACTCAACATTTATTCACATTTTTACTGTTCAAATACAGGCTTTATAATTCCTGGAGAAAGACTGGAGATGAACAGTCTATACTGTAAGTTTAATTTTTGGTCAATGTTGGAAATTACAATTTAAACCTGTTTCAGGATGACCCCTACCAACACACATGAACTTTCAAGCTATGGACAATACGTGATGTTTTATTTGCACTACATCGGTATTGGAATATGCTATAATTCTCAAATTCTGCGTAGTTTAGCACATAACTAATTTAAAAAAAGAAAATTGATAAACAACATGACATCATAATTAACCTGCTGTTTATTGTACCGTAATACAAGTGTCCTCCCTTCACTCAGGTGTAAATGAGTACCTAGCTTCGGTTAGGGACGTCCCTCGGATAGGACGTTAAATGAAGGCCCTGTGTTTGGGGAGAGCCACACCCCACGCACGTTAAAAAACACACCACACTTATCGAAAAGAGTAGGGGACCTTCCCGGTGTGAGTGGTTCAAACCTTACAGTCTGGTCTCAGGTTTGACATCTTGAAGAGGTGATAGTCACCTGTTATGTCAATCCTTCCACAAATGTGGTAAATCTTCATGAAATAAAAATAAGGATAAAAAGTAATTCTCTTGATGTTTTATCTCTTCCACATTTTGTATCAGCCATGTGTTGCTATGAAGCAGCACTTGGTTGGAAACATAACAAACTTAACATTTCATGACCACTTCACAAACCTTCGTTGGCTACTGGGATGTAATACGTAGCAGGGACTCTATAGACTAGTTTACAGTAGTATATGATATTCTCATCTATGTAAAGTGCTGAGGTTGCCATATGTCAATATGTTTATTGGGGAAAATTGAAATTTGAATCAATTGATAGAAATCCTAGAATTGAATGTAATAGACTTCTAGATACACACCTAATATACACATACCAGAATATAGGGACATACAATCAAAAAGATACATTCGTCTCCTGTTTTTTTTTTATTTTTTTATTTGCAAATTCAACAAGGACAATACAAGACAAGTAGGCTATATAATAAATCAATCGAGTACAAACCGTTTGGTGTCAACAATATAAGTTTGAGTGGTTAGCAAGATATTACAGTTTGTATCATAGTATAAATCAGGTAATCCTCTAAGTAAAATATCACATAACAATTGTTCAGACATATTGAAAACATCATATCCATAAATAATTGTGGTAGCCATACCCATTGCTGTGTACATAAATTGACATATAAACACATAACAACAATAAGGATACATATAAAAACAGTACGACATTGTAGATGGTGAATGCCGTCTCCTGTTAGGTATGGAAAAATGAAGAAGAAAGCCCCCCTCCCCTCCTTTCCCCCTCCCCACATTCTCGTGTAGCCAAATATCCCTGTCTTGACCAGGGTGGAGACACGTGCGTGCAACAAAACAGCGCATGGGTTTCCGCACACGGTAATGAAATTTAAATATTGATGACGACAACCGACAACAATACCTGCTGATCACTGTTAAGACGACATAATGACAGCTACTTGTTTGAAAACACGGCACGCACGCAAACTCGTACACGGGGCAAAAACGTGCTACACGTTTCAGAATTTTATGAAGAAACTTTGAACACGGCCGTATTCTTCTTTAGAACATCGCTACAGTTCAAAATGAAAGAAAAACAGCTCTGCCATCTTTAGTTTGTATGGTATTTGTTTGAGTGTAGGATGTCACTGCAGATCTAGACGATATTCGTGTACTGCGTTATTTGGGAATAAACATTGCGATAACAGCAACAGGTGGCCCGGGTCTTTAACGTGAATCATGTGACACGTTTAAATATTCATGATGGAAGGAGCATCGAACAATGCACAAGGACTTTCAAACGGTGTTGTTTCTTCTATTTAGACAACTAACACTGTACTCCACAACGTGATACAACGTCGGGGCGCATGTCCGGACATGTCCGTATGTTTTCAGAGTGTAGCCATTCTTGTCACCATGGCAACGAAATGACGCCTGTCACACCGCGGGCTACAATAAGTGCCGGCATCTGAAATATTAATGACATTAATGCCATCCCCACCGCGGCACAATACACGGGTTACCTTGATGTGATGAGTACCGTAATTTCCGGACGAGCTTCACAATACGACAAGATAATTTGAAGCGTCTCCATGGCAACGCCATGACGCACACGGCTCTTCTTTGTGTCGTCGCAACACTCCCTGTAACCATGGATACTCCCTGTAACAATTTGTAAATTGTTACAGTTTTTTGTCAGGTGTATCGACGGGTTTTTCATAATATATATATATTTTTTTGAAGCCGATATTGCACTTCTTTGTAACAAAATTGGAAACAGTGAAGTATCCTCATGCATGTTGACTTGCCGTTTCAAACGAAGAAATGGTGTTTGGTCCAATCTATAAAAAAGATACACCTACACCGTAGCACGCTTTGGTCAAAACCCAGAATTGAAAACCAAAAGCGGTAAAAAGCAAAAATTCTAAAAGACACGTGGCTTCTTTCTTAACTGCCAAATTATGATGGATGCCTTTTCCGTATTCTATCCCAAAGACATAATATGAGCCCATCGCTAGCCAGCATGACGAACTCTATACATACCAAAGGCTTTCCTACATAAGTAAACTAAGCGTGCACGCCGACCTGCCTAACTGTGCAACGGCAACTGTTTTCTCACTATAATAAGGCCACACCGACTTAATCCATAATAGGTCTGTGTGGCCTTATTATCGCGAGAAAACAGAAGTTGTCCGCCCGGACAGTGGGTTCAGCACCAAGGACAGAGCCGGCCGTTTCCCCGTTTGTTCCTTCACGCGGCACGGACATGATAACAAAGTCCTCCATTCCACGGATACACCGCGCATACTGGGTTTATGAAGCAAATCAAACGTTGTTAGGAAGAAACCATCTTTACTCCAGTTTAGAAACACCTTCAGTGCTTTCTTTTCAAACCTAAACTATCCGGTATCATGAACTCACTCCGCCATGTTGTAAGTCGAAAATGGTGGAAACACCTTAGGCCATGTTGATTTGATTATATGGATGACATCCTCCGGGAGCCCCAAAACTGATGCGCGCGTGCGAATAAAAAAGAAGTTTTGCAAAAAAAAAAAAATGTTCTTTTCATTATGAAATCTACGTGGACATGAGGGTTGAGCAAATGGCACAGAATATGGTTTGGCGAATAATCTAGTCTTCAAGTTCATTTCTTTACAATTTCGTCTTTTTTCGTTTGATTTTGGCATTCTACGACATTGGTATAGTTTTTATTAATTTTTTTTGTAACTTATGGTATATTTTTGCTCATTTTGCAACTGTTTTGTACGATTTACAGTATGGTTGAAAACTTTTTTTTTTTGAAACGGCCGAAACTTCATGCGCGCGCGGATGTCATCCATATAATCAAATCAACATGGCCTTATTAGGAACACCTGATTTACAAAACTATGGGGTTGAATCCGTGCAATTTTTGTATTATCCGCAAGGCGGCACTTCTGTGTAAATAAAGCCATAATTTCTGTATCTGCATAGCCGGTTACGTTAACGTTGCATTACGTTACTGAATAACGTTACAAACAAACCAAACGGTTAATGATACCAAAGTGCCTAGTTATTCTGTGCTTGTTCTAATGTCGAGGAAAGGGATTTTCTTCAGCACAAGATGTTTGTTTCCCGAGACGTGAAGGAAGTAAGAATAAAACAATGACGTAAGAATAACCAGAACCTGTCCGTCCGGAGAGTGAGTTCAGCACCAAGGACAGAACCGGCCGTTTTCTGCCTGTTTTCTCACACGTGTCCGGGGTGCGTTAGACATAACAGCTGTTGTTAGTATGATGTACAACCCTTCCTAGGAAGGCCCATAGGTACACTTAGCATTTTTTATTCCACTTTGTATTTTCTATGGGTACTTTGTATTTTCTATGGGTACTTGTTTTTTCTGTGGGTACTTTGTATTTTCTATGGGTACTTTGTATTTTCTATGGGTACTTTGTATTTCTATGGGTACTTTGTATTTCTGTGGGTATTTGTATTTCTATGGGTACTTGTATTTCTGTGGGTACTTGTATTTCTATGGGTAC